CCCGACCTCGATACATTTCTTGACCCCGGCGTCCCATTTACCGGCGCCCCGTACCCCCTCGGGCCAAATCTTCCTGTTCCCCTCACTCATTGCCGATCACATTGTGGCTCTTTTTCCAACCGAACCATCCCTCCCCTCCGTCATATTTCGACAGCACTCGCCCGAGGAGGCCCAGCGCGGGTCTCAGGAGGGGGCATCCTCTCCCGGCGCCATGCTGGGCCTGGTGCTGCTCGGAGCCATGGCGGGAGCGTTGGCCACCTTTCTTCTCGTCCGCCGTAAGGCTGCCTCCCAGGGGGCGTCGTCGTCGGCAAGCGGTGGCGCAGAGAAGGGCGGCGGCCACAGGGGCGGCGGCTGGATGCCGGCCGTATTCAGGTATGCCTAACTCACCCCTTTTGCTTGTGTTTTGTCGGCGTTTGATGGTGGACAGCAGCAGCCGGCCCCCGCAAAAACGGATAACTGATTGGGGGAAGAGACGGAGACACGGTAACCTAGCCGGGTTCCTCGCTCATGGAGGGGGGGGGGGGAGCGAGCGACGGCGAGAGATACATAGGGTACGAGATGTTGATGTCCACGCCTTGCGGCAAAAGCAAAGGGCAGTCCTGAACATGTTAGGCAGAAGCAACGTACACGAAGCCTATCACACATGAACTTCAACAGGATCCAGTAGACTAAGTTTAACTGGCTGGATTCCGTCGCAGAATAAGATATTGACCCTCAACCCGATGTTTACGTTTTGAAAATTGCGGGAGCCAACTGCTGTACCCGGTCCCTTGTAAACCTGGTCCCAAAGTATTGAGGTCGCTGGCGAAACCAAGAGCTCAGTTGTGTTCGTTCCTTACGAAACGCACCAAACCTCAACACCCTTTCCTGTTTCGCCCGGATGTCGGTTTTTTTTTGCGTCTCGGCGCAGCTCGGGCTACGATACCATCGGCCAGCAATCGTTACCCTGAGCGTGCGAGGGAGCAAAGAATAGCTCGCTGGGAAAAAGCAAGGAATCACATGGATGGAAGAGTCATATGTCAAGGTCGGTTTGATCTCCCGGACGACCAAGGGATCGATTGATCAGATCCGCCTAGATTCGTACGATGTCGTCAGTGCCGCGGCCTAATTGCAATAGCGATGGCATGACTACTGGTGTGTTCATGGTTAGAAGGATAGGAGGGCGTTTAGAGTTACGGAGAGGGATGCAAATGCACTCGTGGCTCCGATATATAAGAGGGTCGAAATCGGTTGTCACGGACTTGATCCGCGAAGTATGGCTGGGTACCCTCTTTTTCCGGAACAAGAGGGGGCTCCGATATTAGAGGTTCGAGGGCGTGTATCACACCACCCTCTTGTTTCGGAGTTACGACTGTATACAATATAGGTAGCAGAAGGGTGCGTGGTGGTGCATCGGGCAAAGTTGTACGTCGTGAACATGGAGTTCATCAATACGTTGATGAAGCTGGAGGGTAACAACCGCATGCATGTGTGGAGCGATGAAAAAGAGTCGCGCGTATTTGGGACGGGGGATACTGTAGTGATGCGTTGGCATAATGTGATTGGCCGAGCTTTTGCTTGTACATCATTCGTACATGGTAACGGAATAGCAGCAAGTACGCGGTGGTTTGTGGTGACGATCGACACTGCGGTCAGTTTTAGAATGGATTTGCACGATGATGATGAATGATAGTTATGGAGAACGGACATGGAGTTCGTCTGACGATGTAAGGATGACGACAGCACGCGTTACTTTTTTACCAGTCTGTTTGAGGAAGAACCCTTATCCACGACGGTATTATCATCGACATGTAGGAGTTATGAAAGGCAGCGTTTTTTTTCCCCCCGGGTGTGAGGGGAGTCGTGGAAAAAGTGGACTACTTGATGCCACTGTGCAACGGAATAGACAAGTGGTGTGCGTACCATTGGTGGTGTGTAGACTCCCTCGCGTCTGTGGATATTGACTGGACTTGGCAGGGTTCTGTAAGAAGAAGAAAGTTATGCGGACTTCACGCTGTTCGGTTCTTGTCTCCCGAACGAATGATGATTGGTGGCAATCGTTATCTGCCTGTCGCGAGTTGTCCCTCCGTCTGGGTTTTGTTGCAGACATTCTATTCGGCCCTCTTATCCCAATCACCAGCATCATTCGTGCATGTTCTATTTCACCCAGCGCGAACACTCGCTGCGCCGACAGACACCTATTTAGTCAATCCGCCTAGGCTATAACGACCCTTGTGTGTCAAGGCAAGTCACACAACATACACTGGACTACATCCAGTGCAGAAGTTGCAGCGTTTGGTTGGTGGCGATTGTTCTCGAGTTGTGAAGTCTACCACCAACACTCTCGTGCTCTTTTTGGGACTCACTCCATCGAAAGCGGCCGCCCGCAGCAACTAAACTGTACCCCATGTCGCGTACACATACATGCCTCCTCGGTGCAGGAACTACCACCCTGCTCCAAGCGGATCATTGCATTTGATGTCATCGCGACAACCGTCGATAGGAATGGTCCAGCTTTTTACCCGTGTTGAAGAAGGCGGGACGAGGTCGAAGTTGGGATACTCGCTTCGCGTAGCATACAAGCAACGTCTACCTCTGCAGTGTGAAGCGCGACGGCTTCCATGCCTTAACAGCTCCGAAGATTCCATCAACACAAAGGGCGTCAGATAACAGTGGTTACAACAGTTTGACCCCTCGCCGTGTCGGCGGGCAACGTAGGAGAGATAGATGTGTAGTTCTCCCCGGTAGCTTGTTGTTTCCTTCATCGAGGCGAAAACAGTAGCTTCCTTTTCTGTTTCTCGCCATCCTTCCCCGCCTTCGCGTGGCCAAAAAAAAACACGGAAAAGAAGTCCGCCTGTCCCACGGAGCATTTTTCTCCCCTAGACTACGCAAGCATCAACTCCTGTTCCGACAAACAAAATCGTGCACTAGAGACAATTTTGTACGTCCGCTCTGCCTCGCACCCATTGTCCATGGACGCACCTTACCTTGGTACAGTCGCCTCTGGTCTTCGTGAACAGTACGCCCCCCCCCCCCCCCCCCTGTTTACCGCCCCCCAAAAGGAGGAAGCCTTTTAACAAAAGGAACCCCAAACTACCCCGACGGGGCTCAACGCTGCCCGGAGGTCCCGCTTATGCGTGT